AAATAAAAGTTTTTGTTTACATAATATATGTGTGTACTGTGTATATTTATTAGGTATATATAAATACAAACACATGCATGAATATATTTAAGAAAAATATGTTATGTTTATATATTAAATATATTTATATAGAATATAATAATATAAATATATAAATGTAAATATTTTCAAAATATATACTTAATGTGTGTGTATTTATATATACATAATAAATAAACACAGTACACACACATATATTATGTAAACAAAAACTTTTATTTTGGATGCGATTAATCGCGATTAATTGTTTGACAGCACTACTTTAAATTAAGTATAATATTTTAGTTTGATATCGACAGCTGTTTGGGGATTTGGGGATATATTACATGTTACAAATGTTGTATTTGTAATAAGTTTTATTACATTTTTTTTCCTGAAATCCACTCTTCTGCTGGGATCAGAATAATCCCGTTTTTTTTTTTTGATCAAAAGTATCCCGATCTTACTAAAACGTTCTGAACAACACAAACCGAGGATTTAATCCTGATCAAAGCCAAGATTGGATTTTGTGATCTAATCCGAATACAGAATCCTTTTTTTTCTTCTTTTTTTTGAACAACCCATTTTCAAGATTTGATCCAATCTGATGGCCAAAATCCGATCAGATTACATTTAAAAATCAAGTAAAGCCGAGCTGCTTCAGTCCAGTAAGTGTTCATCTGGAAATATGAATACAGAGATCTGGCATGAAACTCTAGATGGCGCAGTCCGATAGGTCTAACTCAGTCTGACCTAATGACATCATTATCACATGGCACAACTGATTGGTTCTCTCCTGTATCAGTAGCCAATGAGCTCGCTGCTCAATATTCAAATATATGACTAGTGCTTGCCGTAGCAGTTGCAGCTTGCTTCAGAAACCCTCCACCTTCCCCAGCTCCACCTGTATAGATCTGCTATGAGGTGATTCATGTACGCTATATGGGGGTTATTTCATGTGTGTTATATGTGCAGCAGCAGTATTTCTTACATGCTCACAGCAGCATGTTGTGGATGTATTGGCAGTAGCAAGTTTCAATTACACTGAAAGAGCTTATCATGTGTCTGTGATGTTCAGGTGTATCCAGAGCTTCAGATCACAAACGTGGTGGAGGCCAATCAGCCCGTCAGTATCTGGGACTGGTGTAAGAAGAGCCAGAAGCAGTGCCGCAGTCACACGCACATCGTGGTGCCGTATCGCTGCCTGGGTGCGTGAGTCTCTTCACCCGCCGCGTGTCGCTCCTTCACCTGCTGTGTGTGCTCATCATGTTTCTCTCTCTCTGTGTCAGTCGGGGAGTTCGTGAGCGACGCTCTGCTGGTTCCTGATAAGTGTAAGTTCCTGCACCAGGAGCGCATGGACATGTGTGAGAGCCACCTGCACTGGCACACCGTCGCCAAAGAGGTCAGAAACACACACAACAAAAATACAGCAAAATGTGATATGTGATCCTGGACCACAAAACCAGTCATAAGGGTCAATTTTGAGAATTCAAAATTGAGATTTATGCATCATCTGAAAGCTGAATAAATAATCTTTGTTAGGATAGGACAATATTTGGCCGAGATACAACTATTTGAAAATCTGGAATCTGAGGGTGCAAAAAAATCTAAATATTGAGAAAATCATTATTTCTGTGATGCGCAGCTGTATTTTCAGCATCATTACTGCAGTCTTCAGTGTCACATGATCTTCAGAAATCATTCTAATATGCTGATTTGCTGCTCGAGAAACATTTCTGATTATTATCAATGTTGAACACAGTTGTGCTGCACAATATTTTTGTGGAAACCGTGATGCATTTTATTTTTCAGGATTCACAGATGAATAGAAAGTTCAGAAGAACAGCATTTATTTGAAATAGAAATCTTTTGTGAAATTATAAACGTCTTTACTGTCACTTTTGATTAATTTAATGCGTCCTTACTGGATAAAAGTATTCATTTCATAAAAAAAAAAAATCTTATCAAATTAATTTGATGTGTGCTGGACATGTTTCAAGGTTATTATAGTTACAGCTAAAACTAAAACTTATTTTTAATGACATTTTTTTCAGCTAGTTGAATTATTATAAATTTACAATAAATTCACATCTATATATGTAGCTGACAAGGCAACATTTGTCATTTTCTTTTAGTTAACTTGAAGTACTAAAATAACTAGAGCTAAAACTGAAATAGAAATGAATAAAACTTATATAGGCATATGTAAAAGCAACAAATTCTAATAAAAATGACAAAATTACTAAAACTTTAACTAAAATTAATGTGAAAGCAGCAAATATAAAAATAAAATATAATTCAAAATATTTACAAAAACTAAAAAAGTATCTCAGTGATACTAAAATAACACTGATATGTTTACAGGAAATCTGTAAATATTCCATTTTATATTTACTTACTTGTAAGGTAGTATGGAACTGTTTATCATCAATATATTATCATACATGTCACACAAATGAATATAAATGGATCGCTGTATTGATTTATTTTGACTGGTTTCATTTTGTCTGTCTGCTGTTTGATATTGAAGTTCCTCCTGTCAATAAATGTCTCCGTCCAATCACACGCTCTCGTCTCTCCACAGTCCTGCGGTGACCGCAGCATGAATCTCCATGACTACGGGATGCTGTTGCCATGCGGTATCGACCGTTTCCGTGGCGTCGAGTTCGTCTGCTGCCCTGCAGAAGTGGAGAAGTCGGACAGCGCAGCCGCGGAGGACGACGATTCAGACGTGTGGTGGGGAGGAGCCGAGAACGACTACAGCGACAACAGGTGTGTGTGTGTGTGTGCGTGTGCGTGTGCGTGTGCGTGTGCGTGTGCGTGTGCGTGTGCGTGTGCGTGTGCGTGTGCGTGTGCGTGTGCGTGTGCGTGTGCGTGTGCGTGTGCGTGTGCGTGTGCGTGTGCGTGTGCGTGTGCGTGTGCGTGTGCGTGTGCGTGTGCGTGTGCGTGTGCGTGTGCGTGTGCGTGTGCGTGTGCGTGTGCGTGTGCGTGTGCGTGTGCGTGTGCGTGTGCGTGTGCGTGTGCGTGTGCGTGTGCGTGTGCGTGTGCGTGTGCGTGTGCGTGTGCGTGTGCGTGTGCGTGTGCGTGTGCGTGTGCGTGTGCGTGTGCGTGTGCGTGTGCGTGTGCGTGTGCGTGTGCGTGTGTGTGTGTGTGTGTGTGTGTGTGTGTGTGTGTGTAAAATAGAACACAATTTAATTTAAATAACCCACACAACACATTTGCAATGGTCTGATGTGTTTGACACCGGATGCGGTGTGTGTTTGACTTTAAGACTTTGACCCCTCGATGATTCTATTGGCTGAAAGAGATTTTTTGGGGGGGTGTTTTATTCTGTGCCTCATTAGAAATCCTAAAATATAGTGATCATATATAAGTATCTCGTCTGTGTAGACCATAGAGGAGCTCATCACTGAGCCCAGGACTCATGACAGCCGTGATTATAGTCAGAAAAATAAGCTATTCTGGCTAAATCTTCCACATTTAGTTCACAGAGTGATGTTTGTATGTATTGTCTGATGAAGAAATGAGTACAAAGCAGGGCTATTATAGTTAAACTAAAACCATAAAAAAGAATTACTTGAAATAAATTAAACATTAACTAATATGAAGTAAAATTAAACATAAACTAAAATAAAATAAAATATAAAAAACTTTAAACTTATTTTATTTCAGCTAGTTGCCAAGGCAAAATTTCTCATTTTAATTTAGTTTAGCTTGATGTTCTTAAATAACTAAAGCTAAAACTGAAATAAAAATGAATGAAAACTATATACACATTACACACAAAAAATGATTAAAACTTTAAAAATTTACATGAAAATATAAAATAATTTTTTTTTTATATGAAATAAGTATCTCAATGCTACTAAAATAAAATTGTTCAAAAGAAATGAAATAATATATATAAAAATAAACAAATAAAAAAATATATAACAAATTAATTCATTTTAAAGTATACATCACACATGATTATAGACAAATCTACAGAATAATTATTCTAATTAAACATATAAGCATACTTTTCACAACTATTAACAGATGTAATCAGAGTCATGGCAGGCCTTCATAGAATTAATACTGTACTAAAAAAAGATTATTAATCTTATAATGATGTTCAGTTGTTTATTATAGTTTATTTTGATGAATTAATAATTTCTTTTATTATTAATAATAATTCAACAATAGGAAAATAATAATGATAATAAATGTATTACAATAATAATTGCATACATAGTAATAATAAAGCAGTACGAGGAAGAGGAGCTTCTGGACAACGACCAAGATGGAGATAGAGACGGAGACGAGGATGTGGATGAGGATGAGGAGCAGCGCCAGAGCATCAGCGTCGCCATGACAACCACCACGACGACGGAGTCGGTGGAGGAGGTGGTGCGAGGTGAGCGTCAGCCAATCACGTTGAGCGTTCGCTCATCATCATCATCATCAGACGCAGCTCTTCACGTTAGGGGTGTGCGATATTGACAAAAAATCTCAATATTTTCTGGTATTTTATCAATAACGATAATTAGATGATATTTTGCTTAGTGTGTTATTGTGCTGGTATCTTAAGGACTACCGTGGACAGCTGACTCCTAAATGTTTTGATATTCTTCATATTCTGTGCTTTGGTCAGTTCACGCTGATAGAAATGAATCTTTTCCAATAAGTTCATATTCTGTGCTTTGGTCAGTTCACGCTGATAGAAATGAATCTTTTCCAATAAGTTTAAATTAATTTTTACCTTTTAATAAAGCAATAATCCCCGTGAAGCCGTGGTTTACAGTGATTTTATAACAGCTAAGGAGCGTTGTTAGGTATGACGCGAAACAGAGAAAACCCCCTTAGCTGTTATAAATTTTACGATATTATCGCAGACGATATATATCGCACACCCCTACTTCACATGTGTGTGTGTGTGTCGTCAGAGGTGTGTTTTGCGAGCGCAGAGACGGGCCCCTGCAGGGCCATGTTGGCCCGCTGGTATTTTGTGCGTGAGGAGGGCCGCTGCGCTCCCTTCATCTACGGCGGCTGCGGAGGAAACCGCAATAACTTTGAGTCGGAGGAGTACTGTCTGTCCGTCTGCAGCAGCGTCTGTAAGTCACCAACCGAACAACTGACAGCGTGAGCCACTAACACCAATGAACCTTCACTCACTCGCTCCTCATGACCACCAGACCCATAATGCACTGCCTGAGCCACGTTCTTCAGCGAAACACACAAGACAGCGCTTAGCAGGATTTTCTGTTCATATGAGGCCAGCACTATATCTTGGATCTTCTAATATTATGATACTTCTCCTGTGAAAAAACAGTGCGATGAATCAAATTATATGTGCACTTGTAGTGTACTTCAAATCTGTTTTTAAGATAATATGTGACCCTGGAGCACAAAAGCAGTGTTAAGTCGCTGGGGTATATTTGTAGCAATAGCCAACAATACATTGTATGGGTCAAAATTATACAGTTTTCTTTTATGCCAAAAATCATTAGGATATTAAGTAAAGATCATGTTCCATGAAGATATTTTGTAAATGTCCT